AAACACCCCACTTAAAAGACACAGGGTGACAAGCTGAATAGAAACAAGATCCAACCTTCTGCTGTCTTCAAGAGACTCATCTCACATATAATGACACCCATAGGCTCAAAGTAAAGAGACGGAGAAGGATCTATCATGCAAATGGAAAAAAAAAAAAAAAAAAAGAGCAGGGGCTGCTATTCTTGTATTCTTGTACTAGATGAAACAGGCTTTAATCCAACCACAGTAAAAAAGGACAAAGTGGGCCATTATATAATAATAAATGGTTCAATTCAGCAAGACTTAACTATCCTAAGTATATATGCACTGAGATTCAACAAACGAGTACTTCCAGACCCATGAAATGACTTAGCCACACAATAATAGTAGAAGACTTCAACTCCCCTCTGTTAGCATTAGATAGAACATCAAGTGAAAACACTAACAAAGAAATTCTGGATGTGAATTTGACACTTGATTAATTGGACCCTATAAACACCTACAGAATACTCCACAGAACAACCACAGAATATATGTCCTTCTCATCTGCACATGATACATACTCTAAGAATGACCACGTGCTCAGCCATAAAGCAAGTCTCAATAAATTAAAAAAAATGGAAATCATACCAAGCATATTCCTGAAGCACAGTAGAATAAAAATAGAAATCAATACCAAGAGAAACTCTCAGCAGACATTTTTGAGTGACTCTTTACACCAGGCATTGGACTAGGTGCTGGGAATACAATGATGGACAATATGGGCATAGTCCTTGCCTTTGCAGTTCTTCTAACAAGATGAAACAAGTAATTCCGTAAGTAATTGGATATTTCCAATCATAAGTTCAACAAAGAGGGAATATAGGGTGATAGGAGACCTAAGCTAGATTGATGACTTAACAAAGATTTGCCAGATTATGTGACACTTCAAATTAACTGTAAAGGATGAGAAGCTGGAAGAAAGGGGGCAGAAGGTTAAGGTGCACCTCAGGCACATGGAAGGGCATCTGTGAAGGCCCTGACGTGGGGAGAAGCATGAGCACTCAGGGAAATGAAGGAGAGCTAATATGGCTGGATCCTAGAGAAAGAAGGTTAAGTTGTATGAGATGAGACTGAAGAGTTAGGCAGGGACTTTAGGCTACATTTATAATTTTGGAGTGCATGTTAAAAACAATGACAAGTCATGAAGGATTGTAGGTAGAGAAAGGCATGATCAGATTTGAGTTTTAAAATATTTACTCTGCTTTCATTGTGGAGAATGGACTGGAGAGAAGCAAGCATTAATGAGGGGTCCAGCTACAACGAATTGTAGTAGTCTAGGCAAGAGATTATGCGGGCATTCCATATGAAGATCAATTGATATATATACAGTATACTTTTGACATAAATATGGCAAGCATTGCTGATGAACTAGTTTAAGAGTGAAAGAGAGTGATGTGTCAAGGATGGCTCTCGGGTTTTTGACTTGAGTAGCAGAGTAGAAGGTGGTACTATTTCCAAGACAGGGAATGCTGGATGAAGAGAAGATTTGGGAGTGGGATTCAAATTTTCAGTAGTTCAGCACTTTACATATTTGGAAGAGATGTTGAGTAAGACGTTGGCTATGTGGATCTGGAACACAAAGGAAAGGCCCCAGGGATAGAGACCATTAAATTATGGCTTGTATAAAGATAACAGTCAGATTTCATAGCTGAGTAAATGTCTGAATACTAGGTAAGTGCTCAAGGAATCATGGTTTTTCAACTCAGGAAATAGTACAAAATTAGTGCCACAGTGATTTCAACAGGGTAGTCAATTTTTAGGCATCTATTATCTCATGATACTGTGACTTATCCAAATAAACATTTTAGCTTTCAATAACAGATATCTTTAGAATCACAAAATAGATAGCAATTCAGCTGTTTTGCTTTATGCTTTTTTGCTGCAATTATTAACTCCTGTATTCATCTTCACTTTGCATAAAATCTACAAAAATACATTTGAAAGAAAAGGTATTTGGAGCATTTTCTCCATGCACAAGATTGAAATTCTCCTAATGTAATAATCTTTTTCATGCCCAGAAAAGGGTATGAATGAGTTTCATGATAACTTTAGAGAAAGGACAGCAAAATATAAGCTGCTAATATTGTCCTTCTGAGGATTGTGCTTTCTATCCTTAGGGGAAAAAAAGAAGGTTTTAAATTCAGGGCAGCACAGACTGGAAAATCTACACTGCAGAGTAAATACTTGTTTATTTTGCTTTACCCTACTAAATGTAAACTTCATGAAGACAGGGGTTTTTGTCTGTTCTGTTCATTGCTCTAATCTCAGCATGCAAAATAGTGTCTTGTGCATAGTAGGTGCTCAACGAATATTTGAGAAATAAATGAAATAATGAATTGCATCTTCATGGTGTAATTGTTAGAAAATTTCTGATTCCCTAGAAAGTCAGACATTCATATTGAAAAGTATATGTATGTGGTTTATATATCTCATATACATGAATAAATGTATGTAAATATATCTCCAAAATGTGATAGAAATACTTTTATTTATCAGGTTTTTAACCATCCATCTGTGGCTTCTCACTATTAGAGAAGATTTTGGAAAGTTTCCTGTGTTTACTCTGAGAAATCCATTTGTTTCCATTTTCTACTGTCGTATCAAGAGTCTCACAAATAATATCTATTTCACTTCTGATAATACTAAAAACTTTCTTTACATACCAAGGCAAATGACAGAGGGGTTTACTGAACAATACATTAAACTTCTCAGGGGAATCTCTTTTAAAGGAAATACTCATCAAAGACCATATTGCAAGAGAATTGTATAATACAACAGGATGATCTATACAAGAAATTAATAAAACATGTACAATGTTGCTAATGCTTATGGTAAAATGCAAGAGAAATGCAGTAAAAACCCATCAAAATACATTTTAAAGCATTTTCATGGAAATATTTACAATTAATGAACATTGAACATCTTCTAAATATAAGCCGCATGATAATGGTGGGCAGATATAAAGGTGAAGATGGTAAGCACTATGAGGACAGGGACTCATCTCATCCATCTGTTGGGGAGTGAAAATCAAGTTTGGTTTAGCAAACCTTTATTAAATTCCTACTATGCACCTGGCTTAGGTTAGGTGCAAGAATGAAAAAGATGAACAAGATTTGCTGTCTGTCATACTGTACAGGTGTTTATAATTATGGTGCTGTATGTCTGGGGGGTGTGTATTTTTGTGTGGATATATAAGGATATGTGTACTGTTTAGGAATCCACATAAAGGCAAACTGTCAAAGCAGTATGGCAGGTTAAGACAGAGTCTAGCACCATGTAGGGAAACAGCCCACACACTGAGAGATGAAAGGAGGAGGAGGTGGAATCCCAACGATATCTTTGGAATAACTGTTAGCTAGTGAATGGGAAGATCGTTCCGTGCTGAAAGAACAGCATGAGCGTGGTCAATGAGACTGGAAAGAAAACAATGTCTGGAGAACCACCAGCATCTTAGAGGACAGGTGGTGTTAGGGAAGGCCCACTATTGCACTCTATCTTTGATTTATTTTGAAACTCTTGTAAAATAATTAAACAAAAAATTTCTGTTATCAAAAAAGTATCCTTCATTCCCAGCATCCCTCCCCTTTTGCATTGGTGTTGTCAGACAGCGGAGTATTTTAAATAATCGGGAGCAGAGAGGGTGGAGGGGAGCGGCGGGAGGCGACAAACCTTGAAGATACTTATGAGAACTATGTTAGCTGTTAGGCATAGAAGACCTAAAGCCCCTCATCAAATACAATCACTTTACTATAAAGGCCATTTTACCTTAATCATTTCTACGGTAGCTTATGGAAACTAATAGATTGGAAACTAAATGAAACTAAGGGGAATCTTACATGAACTTGTCTAGTTCGCGTGGAAAATCAAATTCAGACTCACCAAACGCTCATCCAGGGCAACTATGCTTTCATATATTTTTCCCCCCGTAAAGCAAGGCTAATCTATTGCCCGAGTGGCTGTTTGGACTAATTAGAACAAATACGGACGCAGTGAGAGTTCCATTCCGGCGAAACTAGGGTGAGAGGTTTTTCGTGGGTTTTCATTGAGGAGACACGGAAACTAAAAAGATATGGAATATAGTTTGAAAGTATCGGTGTGAAAAACTATGCCTCGAGGGCCAACACGAAATACAGATACGATGGCGGGAGACAGTTTTTAGGCTGGAATGAAAATCTCCTTTGTTCACAGAGCAAACACTTTTCAATTTCACTCCGCTCTCAGTGTCTCTTCACAATTCTTGCTTCAGTATTGTCAACGGGTATCCAAGTCTCCCACACTCATCCTGGCTAACGGAATAAAAATCTACATCTCTTTTCTATTTCAACATTCCAGGCTAAATGAGCTACCGCACTCAGCCTGGAAAATGAGTCGAGCTTTTAACCTAAGTGTAAACGTTTTAAATATAATACTGTAGTCGCCTACTTGGACTTTCCACCCAAGAACTACAACACCCAGAATGCATTGTTTTCTTTTCCGCCTTCTACCGAGGGAATGCCTAACTTGATCTCATTTCCACAAGTAATAGTCACATGACACGTTTCCCGTCAAGATGGCGGATACTCTCCCCTCGGAGTTTGATGTAATCGTAATAGGGACGGGTATGTGTATCTGGTACTTACCGGACAAAGTTTAGGAAGACTATCTTGTTCCTACTTTTTCTGTCAGTGGCGAGTTTTGGGAGAAACGTCTTGGGTCGAGCGTGGGAGGGAGAACGGAGAGGAAGTGAGGTAGTCCGGAGTCAGCGCGGGACTTGGCAGCTACAGGGAGGGGCTTGGACCCGCGGTGCTTATCGCCATTTGAGTAGGGGTTGATCTGGTAGATGTCGATTGCTGAGGTTGGTTGCTGCGGCGATTCCTGTTAATTTCCTTAGAGGGAAGTGGATGTGCAGTGTCATGAAATGGAGGGTCGGGATTTTATCAACGGAGACGACTTTGGCAAGACATTATGATTCCCTCCTTGTTGATTTCAAGGTGATATTCCCCATCATTTTGTCTCGCCATTTCATAGGACTTTTTCATAGATTTGTATGATCCTAGGGTACATCGCAGCTCAGACACAGCTTCATCCTCAGTTTTACAGGAAAGATGCTCAATTATTGCCCACGTGCGTATGAATTTACTAGGGAAAACAAACGGATTCTATTGTGTTGAGAAACCTAGGGAATTATATTTTGTTGAGGTAGCCATTATTCCTGCTTTATGGTGCTTAAAGCATCTTGCTTTCTACCACCCATAACTAAATGTGCTGAAAACAAGGTCCTGAGTTCCAGTTCAGGTGTCTGACCTTATCTCACTCTTGTTTTCCCGTCGTTTGTTCTTCATGTTTTGGGTGGAACCAGAAACTCCTCTGCAATTTCTAATTGACATATTAAATATATACGTGGCAGAAAACATATGGCATCAATTGGAATTTTTTTTAAAATAGTGTAATGGATGATCGTTTTAGATGGTATGAAATAGGTTGTTTGGTGGGGTTTTCTACTATTTGTAGAAAGGTAGGCCAGAGAAGCTCTAGTGGATGGGACCCTGTCCATTGTGTTAATGAATTCAGTTCGTTGTCTTCTCAAACAGCCATGATTAGGAGCAGCCATGTTTTCAGGTTGGGAGTAAAAATAATAGCTACCTGTTTTCGAATGCCTAAAATTTCCTAATCACTGTGCTAAGCACTTTAGAAGCTGGACATAATCCTCACAGCCTTGTTAGAGTAGTAGGTACTTTCTACATTTTGTGGATGAGGAAAAGGGGACGTGGAAAGGTAATTTGCTCAGGATCACACAGCTGGCAAATTTCCAAAGGCCCATTCCATCCCAGAAAAGCAATCAGTGGTTCTGACCCTCAGAGTTGACCCATATTAGTAGAAATGAAGAAACTTGGTTTTAGGCTTTGCTTAGTGCTAGTGTGAATTGCTTGAATTGGGAGGGCCAGGTACTTGGTCTCTCTGAGCCTCAGTTTCCTTGTTTTTGAATATAGGGAAGGTAAATTAGATGGTCTTTGTGTTGTCTAGCAAAAAAATGCCTGTGTAACAGTTCTCAGAACAGCACGGACATGTTTATTCTTAGCCTGAAAATATCTGCGTGGCTGCAAATAACCTGGTTGTAGTTGCTATGAACAGATGTTGGATGAGAGCTGGAAAGAGCCAATGGACTATTCATTTTTTCTTTCCAGTCTATACTAAAACTGAGAACAACATCCATTTTGGAATAGTTGTGATACCATACTTGAGTTTTATATTCTTGCTTTTTTTTTTTTTTTTTTTTTGTTACCTAGGAACTTGAGGTGTTTTTAACAATTTTTTTAATCAACAGTTTTTTTTTTCAGGTCTCGGTTCAAATTTTAATTGATGAGTGTTTCTTCCTATTATGAAGTGCTGCTAATGCTTTTCATAAATATTTCACCTTCTGTACAGTTCAGAACTGGAATATATCTATTCTGTTAGAGTCTGTTATGGTAGAGGTAGGAAGTTACAGTGAGTGACCCAGAAAATTGCATCAGGAGACATAGCTTATATTTGGAAAAAGACTTATTTTATACTTATCTCAGCCAGTGCAATGTTATTTTTCAGTGTTTGGGAAGAACTTGTTTGAAGTTAGTCTTAAAACTTAAATTTTTCATATTGTTTATTGGTGAAATTCCAGGTTTTATCAAGCACATTGCTTAAATTGCTTAAATTTTTAATTTTTATGATGTGTAATTTTGTTTTTAGGTACATCAAAAGTGTAAAAATTGAATAAGAGTCATTTCCCAAAGAAATAATTCCTACCATTCCAATCATTACTTAATTGGATTTATTTTTTAGTGTGCTTGGTGGAATATTTCTTTTGTGAAATAGTTTGCTGAAAGTAGCCTTTAAAATATTTGATTTATTAAATGTACTACCTTGAGTAAATCATAGAAAAAGCGGTGTTTCATAGATTCAGTTGTATTAACAAAAGCAGAAGCAATAATGCATGCATCAGAAATTGGCTATTAGATGTACTTTTTAGCAGATTTAGTCCTAATTAAAATGCCATAAAGGGACAATTGCTTCATCAAGTATAATCACGTGAAGACAATATTCTATAATCCCTTTGACCTTGATTAACTTGTATTCTCATATTTTGTAATACAAGATGGAAACTCTTCCTTAAGATCATATTTTCAGGAGATTATGGGAAAAAAATAAACTTTGTATTTTCTTAGTTAAGCCCATCTCCTTCTGGTTAGAAAATACAGTAAATATCTCTTGAACACCCAAAGACAGAAGAGTAAGATAAAGTGAATACTGGAAAAAATAGAAGAAAATGGAATAAAGAAGGAGAAATCAATGGAGTCTCAAGGGAGAGGATAAAAATAGATGTATGTGGTAAGTGTCTAGAAAGTGGTCCTCAACTTGGGTACAGAATTGTCATTTTCAGTGTATTTTGCCATTTAAAAAGTCATTTAAGTTACAGTTTTGTGGATTATAGACAAGTACCATTGGTTTCAGTTTAAAAATAGTCCCAGTAACATAACATCTCACTGGAGGTGACTTATCTGGCAACCTGTGTAATCTGCAGCACAGCAGAGCCGAGAACTCAACAGAAGAGCGGGCAAGATGGAAATTATAAAATCTATTTGATAATGTTGACATGCTTTATACATAGGGGAATCCCTGAGATCATCACTTAGAACATATTTATCCTTATTTTAAAAATAATTCTAGCAAGCTCAGCATGTTAGAACCACTCCCTTAGAAGATACAAGGAATGTTATCAACTTCTGCAAAGACTGTGTTTGGTGGGAAGTGCTATTAGACATATAAATGACAATTTATGTCTGTATAGGAAAGGGAAGAGAAAAACACCTAAAATGCAAACCTACATCAAAAAGGCCTGATAACATTTGGCGTAGTGAGAAATACTCATTTTTCAGGTCATCCAACCCACATTTATTGAGAACCTAGTCTCTTCCGTTGTGAAGTTTACTGTATTGCCTGTTCTCAGGAACTCTTTGGGCTTCCTAACAGTCATATCCCCAAAGCTGTTCTTAAGACAATGTAGGCTTTTCATTGCATCCTTCTTTCTTTTTGAAAACTGTATAGAGGTTCAGCCACCATTTTTATTTCCTTTTAAAAGCACACTGCTCACATTGTCTTTTGGAGTTCTTCCCCTAAGATAAGCTGCAGAGCAGATTAGCTTAATTTTTCTCCTGCATGGCGTAAACACATAGATTCTTTTGATTTAAGCTTCCCCTCCCACCCCTCAGCATGGTGGCATGGACCTGTAATCTCCGTTACTTGGGAAGCTAAGGCACAGGCATCCCTTGAACCTAGGAGGCGGAGGTTGCAGTGATCTTAGATGGTGCCACTGCACTCCAGTCAGTGAAACAGAGTGAGACTGTCTCAAAAAAAAAAAAAAAAAAGGTTTCATTGGCCAGGTGCAGTGGCTCATGCCTGTAATCCCAGCACTTTGGGAAGCCGAGGCAGGTGGATTGTTTGAGCTCAGGAGTTTGAGATCTCAGCCTCCCAAGTACCTGAAATGGGCAACACAGCAAAACCCCATCTCTACAAAAAAATACAAAAATTAATTGGGTGTGATTACACATGCCTGTAGTCCCAGCTACTTGGAAGGCTGAGGTGGGAGGATTGCGTGAACCTGGGAGTTTGAGGCTGCAGTAAGCTGTAGTTGTGTCACTGCATTTCAGCCTGGGCAAAGAGCAAGACCCTGTCTCAAAAAAGAAGTTTTATTGCTAAACATTATGGAGAAAGAAAAGGGATAACAAAAATAAACGTGGGGAGATTACAAGGAGTATTCCTTGTAATCTGTAAATTGAGAGATTTCAATAGGTGATCTCCAAGGTAGGAATCTACCAGCTCTAAAATTATCATTTTATATATCTATGACACCATGTCCTTGAAAAAAGGCTAAATTCTGTTCTTTATAGTCTTTTTAAGAAGTAAAGTCAGTATTTAATGTACTTCAGAAATTTTTCTATCAAAATGGCTGGTATGATTTGAATATTTGTCCTGCCCAAATCTCATGTTGAAATGTTATCCTCATTGTTGGAGGTGGGGCCTGGTGGGAGGTGTTTGGGTCATGGGAGCGGATCCCTCATGGCTTCATGCTGTTCTTGCAATTGTGAATGAGTTCTGGCAGGATCTTGTGGCTTATTTTTAATTTTTTTTTTTGAGACAGGGTCTTGCTCTGTCACCATGGTTGAAGTGCAGTGACACAGTCATGGCCCACTGCAGCCTTGACCTCCTGGGCTTAAGCGATCCTCCCACCTCAGACTCCCAAGTAGCTGAGGTCACAGACATGCACCACCATGCCAGGCTAATTTTTAAAATTTTTGTAGAGATAGGGTCTCCCTATGTTGCCCAGGCTGGTTTTACACTTCTGAACTCAAGCAATCTACCTGCTTCGGTAGCCCAAAGTGCTAGAATTACAGATGGGAGCCACTGTGCCTGGTCGACTGGTTGTTTAAAAGTGTGTGGCATCTCCCCATACTCTCTTGCTTGCCTTGCCTTTCACCAAGGGAGATTCCTGCTTCCCTTTTGCCTTCTGCCATGATTAAAAGCTACCTGAGGCCTCCCAGAAGCTGAGCAGATGCCAGTACCATGCTTATACAGCCTGCAGTACTCTGAGCCATTTAAACCTTTTTTCTTTATAAATTACCCATTTTCAGGCATTCCTTTATAGCAACACAGGAATAGCCTAATACAATGACTGATTAGAAAAGACATTTTCTTGTTATTTTATTTTATTATTTTTTTTTGAGATGGGGTCTCGCTCTGTTACCCAGGCTGGAGTGCAGTGGTGCGTTCTCGGCTCACTGTAACCTCCACCTCCGGGGTTCAAGCGATTCTCCTGCCTCAGCCTTCCAAGTAGCTGGGACTACAGGTATGTGCCACCATGCCCAGCTAATTTTTTTTTTGTATTTTTAGTAGAGATGGGGTTTCACCATGTTAGCCAGAATGGTCTTGGCCATCTCCTGACCTCGTGATCGACCTGCCTTGGTTTCCCAAAGTGCTGAGATTACAGGCGTGAGCCACTGCGCCACGCCAGAAAATACATTTTCTTTAAAATGATAGACTGCTTTTTTCAGAAAAGTTCATGTAGGTAGCACAGTCCCATTCCTTTACGTTGGTGAATTTAAACATTAAGGTAGTTAACCTTGATTGGTAGCTCATTGACTTATGATGACGTTGGAATAGCATCACTTCTCTAAGCCTTGGGGGATAGTAATATTGCAGGAGGTATTGTGAAAACTGATGTTTACCAAGTATCTGTGCTAGCCTCAACACAAATGATTTCCTTTATGTCTCATTTAATCCTCTACCAGGATGCCTGGGTGTGGTTCACACATCACAGGATGTCCATGATCCTCCCTGTATATTTCGAAAATCTTCACATCTATTGTCTAGAGTGGATTTTTAAAAATTGTAAGATGCCACCTATTTGTGGATCATGAAGTGAATCCCAGCTTTATAAAAATGAGGCAGAATATATTACAATGCATGTAGTAAGGACGAATGTTGTTTTATATATGTAACCTATATATGTAACATATATGTAACACACACACACACACACATATATATATATATATATAACATATACACATACACACACATGTTCTTGGAGAGGGCAGGGTCAAAAAATTTAGAGACTAGAGTATATTGATCAGCTGAATGACGTAGTGAGTAAGAGTGAAAAGGTATTTCAAAAATCCTTTAGTTTTACAAATGCCATACCTTACATATATATATTTTTTAACTTTGACATGCACGTATCTCATTTGAGCAGTATAGTGAAGCGATTGACAGTGTGGCTCTGGAATCAGACACGCTGGGTTTGAATCCCAGCTATTCCTCTTTTGTCATTTTAGACATTTTCCTTAATCGCTTTATGCTTCAATTTTCTTATCTCTAACTAGGATAAACTTCACAAGACTGTGTTGAGGATTCAATGAAATAATTCCTATAAAAAAGCTTAGTAGGTGCTCATAAAATGCAGTTGTCTGTATGCTTTTAATGCCACACTGAGGTGCTTTCACTACTATGTTTATTTCGTGAATGCTTTCCAGGAAGGGCTCACCATTTCCGTGAAGAATGGTGGAAGGATTCAGTTGTCTGATTTATGTTTCCTGTCTTCTCATTGACTGCTTGGTGGGAAAGACCTTTATGTGTCTATTGTCACTGTTTCTATCAGATTTCTTACCTAGTGGCTTACCAGTTTTCTTTTTTTCTTTTTTTTTTTTTTTTTTTGTCTTCTTCTCTTTTGTTCACCAGCTTGCATTATTTATCATTTTCCCTCATAGTTTTTGAAACAGATTTAGCATTTGTCTTCTTTGAGGGATACTATGAAATACTTACTTCCCTGTCAATGTAAGAGATGCTGTAGGAGCGAAAGATAGCCTGCAGATTTTGCTGTTCTGAAAAATGCTTTGCACTTCTTCAGGCATTTATTGATGGAAAAGTATGTTTTTGTTTGCTTCCAATATCTCGAAAAGTAAAGAATTATCTAACTCTGGAGAAGAGTTTCTGGGAGATGCTTACCCTTCTCTGTAAATCATGAATTTGAGCCAATACCTCAGAGAGAGCCACATCTGTTACCACAGTTTCCTCTGCTGCATCATTTTCATTTCCCATGCCTCATGTCATTTTTCTCATTTTCTCCAGTGTTCTCATGATGTTTTGGATAATAGGCCACAGCAATTAAATTCAAATATGGCAGCTCACCATTACATTCTCATGTTTAACATAAAATCCCAATGCACAGAAACAATTATAATTCCATATAATTGACCTGTTAACTCATGCTAAATCATCTGCGATTCAGTTTCAGTGCATTCTTTAACCTAAAAGTTAGTCTGTGCCTGTTCTGTATGTAAATATATTTAAAAGTAAAATAGGTTAAAAGTGACTGTTGGTGCTCATTAGAAACATTTTGGGGGCATTTAGTGTGGCTAGCAAAATAGGGATACCTTGAAAGGTTGATGTTTTGTTTTTGCTTTTCTAATAATTTCATTTAAAGGTTGGTGTAAAAAGAGATGATAATTTATCACAGATACTGCTTTTTTAGAGCACGATTATGAGAGCTAGCATGTTACATTGAGGCTGTTTTTTTTTTTTTTTTTTTTTTTTGAGATGGATTCTCCTCTGTTGCCCAGGCTGGAGTTCAGTGGTGTGATCTTGGCTCACTGCAACCTCCGCCTCCCGGTTCAAGCGATTCTCCTGCCTCAGCCTCCTGAGTAGCTGGGATTACAGGTGTGTGCCACCACGCCCAGCTGATTTTTGTATTTTTAGTTGAGATGGGGTTTCACCATGTTGGTCAGCATGGTCTCAAACTCCTGACTTCGTGATCTGCCAGCCTCAGCCTCCCA